GACTGCTACTATAAAAGTTAGCCTCCGTATTTAGAAAAGAGATTTGCCACTCAAGCTTTGTATTTAGAGAGAGTTTTATAACTCTTTTAGAGAGAACTCTTTCTTTAAAACTACTACTCTTTATTTATGATTGCTTTTGCTTGTTGTGGGATGCTCTTACAAGTGAGCCACGCATCCCTATTTATACCACTTAAGCTATCTCTAGATCCTTCTCTTAGTCTTATCCATAATTTCTTCTACACACTTCTTCTTCTTGGGCTTCTTGACTTTTGCTTTGAATCTTGGACAATTGGGAGACCCCAAAGCAAGTTTAACTTTCAACACCCCCTCTTAAACTTGGCTTGTCACTCCGAGCAAACTCTGTATCTTGATAAAGTTTTCACGCTTGAGAGGCTTGGTGAAGATATCAGCTAACTGATCATTTGTCTTCACATACTCCAATTGCACTTCCATCTTGGTGACACATTCCCTAATATAGTGATAACGGGTATCGATATGCTTGCTTCGATTATGGAAAACTGGATTCTTCGCCAATGCTATTGCTGATTTGTTATCAACAAAGATCTTCGTTGGCTCCTCTTGTGGTAGACTCAACTCTTTTAGCAAGCTTCGTAACCATATAACATGGCAGACACATTAAGTAGCCGCCACATACTCTGCTTCACAAGTTGAAAGAGTGACAATTGGTTGCTTCTTTGACATCCATGTGAAGGCCGTCTCTCCAATGAAAAACACAAAGCCACTTGTGCTTTTCCGGTCATCTAGATCTCCTCCCCAGTCGCTATCGCTATATCCAACAAGCTTGTAATCGTCAGAAATAGAGTAATACAAGGCAAAGTTGCTTGTACCTTTGATATAGCGTAGAATCCTCTTAGCTGCCTTGAAATGAGTTGTTGTTGGATGCTCCATGAAACGACTCACAACTCCAACCGCATGTAAGATATCAGGCCTTGTACATGTTAGATAACGTAAGCTTCCAACAAGGCTCTTGAAGAGTGTTGGATCCACATTCTCTCCTTCTTCTTCCTTTGACAACTTGACTCCACATTCCATTGGCGTGCAAACTGGATTTGAGTCATCCATCTTGAACTTCTGTAGCATCTCTTTAGCATAAGCTTCTTGAGTAATGAAGATTCCCTTCTATTCTTGCTTTACTTCAATGCCAAGGTAGTATGACATCAATCCAATATCAGTCATCTCGAACTCCTTTGTCATCTCCATCTTGAAATCTTCAAACATAATCGGATTATTGCCGGTGAATATCAAGTCGTCTACATACAAGCATGCAATCAATATATCTTCGTTTTGAGTTTTGATATAAAGTGCATGCTCATATGGACACTTGATGAAGTCTTTCTCCTTGAAGTACTTATCAATCCGAGTGTTCCATGCTCTTGGTGCTTGTTTTAATCCATAAAGTGCCTTCTTTAGCCTCAAGACTATGTCTTCTTCTCCTTTGACTTTGTGGCCTTGTGGTTGCTCAATGTAGACTTCTTCCTCAAGATCTCCATTTAAGAAGGCTGACTTGACATCCATTTGATGGATCCTCCAATTCTTTTGGGCTGCCAATGAAATGATTAGCCTAACCGTCTCTAAGTGGGCAACAGGGGCAAACACTTCATCATAGTCGATTCCGGCTCTTTGACTATAACCTTTTGCCACCAATCTTGCCTTGTACCTTTCCACTTCTCCTTTAAAGTTCTTCTTTTCCTTGTACACCCACTTCACACCAATTGCTTTATGCCCATTTGGAAGTGAAGCTATCTCCCATGTATTATTCTTTTGAATCGACTTGATTTCTTCATCCATTGCACTTCTCCATGACTTCTTTTCTTGAGCTTCTTCAAAGTTCATAGGCTCGCAATCCGCAAATAGACAAAACAGAGTAAGATTGTCTTGATTTTCGGTAACTCCATAGATGTCTTGTAGACTTCTAAAACGTGGGATTCTTTCACTTGAGCTTTCATCTCCTTGAGAACTTGCTGTTGGTGAAGTTGGTGGTGTAGCTGTCTCTTCTCTTGGTTGCTCCAAATCTTCTTCTTCAAAAGATGGAAAGAAATTGTAGTCTTCATCATTTGAACTCCAATTCCATTCTTCTTCTTCATCAAAGACGACATTCCGACTAGTGATTGTCTTATTTATTTCTGGATTGTAGAGCTTGTAGCCTTTGGAGTTAGCATCATACCCAATGAAGATGTAATTCTCACTTTTGTCATCTAGTTTGCTCCGCTTCTCATCTGGAACATGAACTTGAGCAATGCTTCCAAAGACTCTTAGATGTGATACACCAGGCTTCCTTCCGCTCCAAGCTTCTTGTGGTGTCTTTCCCAAAACACTCTTTGTTGGAGATCGATTTGTTATATAAACCGCACACGCATCCGCTTCCGCCCACAACTCCTTTGGTAGCTTCTTACTCCTGAGCATGCTTCTTGCCATCTCAAGGATAGTCCTATTCTTTCTCTCTGCTACTCCATTTTGTTGAGGGGATCTTGGCACCGTCAACTGTCTTCGGATGCCATTATCTTCACAATACTTCAAAAGCTCCTTAGACATGAATTCTCCTCCTCGATCAGATCTCATGGACTTGATCTCAAGACCACTTTCCTTCTCAACATGGGCTTTGAACTTTTTGAAATTCTCAAACACTTCTGATTTTTCTTTCAAAAAATAAACCCATGTCTTTCTTGAAAAATCATTAATGAAGAGAAGAAAGTAGTTACTCTTTCCAAGTGAAGTTGGTTTGATCGGACCGCATACATCTGTATGTATGAGTTCTAGTGGCTTTGTTGCTCTTGTCTCTGACTCCTTTGGAAAGCTCATTTTGAATTGCTTTCCAAGTAAACATCCTTCACACACTTGATTTGGATGGTTGATGCATGGTAACCCTCTCACCATTTCTTTCTTGGAAAGTAGCTTTAACCCTCCAAAGTTGAGATGCCCGTACCGAAGATGCCAAAGCCAAGAATTCTCCTTGTAACACATCTTTAGACATCTTGCAATGTCGTTTTGAATGTTTAGGACAAACATTCTATTCTTTGACATTGAGACCTTCGTGATGAGATTGTTTGCTTCATCTCTTAGAGAAAGACTATTATCCTTGAGTCGAATATCATAACCTTTCTCTAAGAATTGTCCTAGACTCAAGATGTTGGTCTTCATGCTTGGAATGTAGTAGACATTGGAAATAAATTGATGATCTCCATTCTTCAAGTGGATGAGAATATTTCCTTTGCCTTTGACCTCCATCTTTGATTCATCTCCCAAAGCCACCTTTGTTTTCACTGATTCATCAAACTCCACAAACATGCTTCTATCACCACACATGTGATTGCTTGCACCACTATCAAGATACCATCTATGAACCTCATTTGGTTCATCACTCTTGCAAGCCATCAATAGCATATCTTCTTCTTTACTTCTTTCTTCAATATAGTTGGACTTCTCTTCAAATTTTTTGTTGTTTGGAGCTTTGCACTCAGAAGCATAATGCCCAAACTTTCCGCAGTTATAGCATTTTATGCTTGACTTAGCGTACCTTGATCTTGCATTTCCTCTTCCACGACCTCTTGAATAACTCTCTCCTCTTTGATTAGAGTTTCTTCAGATGGTCTCCAACCTCTTCCATTTACTCCACGTCCCCGTCCTCGAAAATGACCGCCACCACGTCTTGGATTGCTTCGGCCACTCTCCTCCTTGTGATCAACTCTCATTTTGAGAACTTGCTCAACAATGTCTTCTTTCTTCTTCTTCTTTTCATCATAAGCTTGTAATGATCCAAGAAGTTGCTCCATCTCCATAGTCTCCAAGTCTTTTGTCTATTCAATTACGGTGACAATGTGCTCAAATTTTGAATCCAACGATCTCATAACTTTCTCCATGATTCTCACCTCATTCAACTTCTCACCATTTCTCTTTAGGTTATTAGTAACCGTCAAGACTCTTGAAAAATAATCTGAGATGAGTTCTCCTTCCTTCATTTGTAACGCTTCAAATTCTCTTCTAAGAGTTTGAAGACGAACCTTCTTCACTTGTTCCGCTCCTTTGTAAGACATCTGAAGCTTCTTCTCCCATGCTTCTTTGGACGTCTTTGCACCAGCAACCTTCTCAAATGTATCTTCATCTAATCCTTGATAGATTAGACAGTGAGCCTTCTTGTCTCTCTTCCTTGAATCTCTCAAACTATCCTTTTGAGTTTGAGATAAGCCACCATCATTCTCCGGTTCAAGAAAACCTTTCTCTACTACCTCCTACACATCATGTGCACCTAGGATCGCCATCCTCCTTAAACTCCAATTATCATAGTTGATCTTCGTTAGGACCGGAACTTGGAAGGAAACACCACTATTTGCCATCACCATAGCTCTGATACCACTTTGTTGGAAATTTTAGCGGGATAATGTTTCTTGTAGCGGATAAGTTGGAAATTGGACTGCTACTATAAAAGTTAGCCTGCGTATTTAGAAAAGAGATTTGCTAATCAAGCTTTGTATTTAGAGAGAGTTTTATAACTCTTTTAGAGAGAACTCTTTCTTTAAAACTACTATTTATTTATGATTGCTTTTGCTTGTTGTGGGATGCTCTTACAAGTGAGCCAAGCATCCCTATTTATACTACTTAAGCTATCTCTAGAACCTTCTCTTAGTGTTATCCATAATTTCTTCTACACACTTCTTCTTCTTGGGCTTCTTGACTTTTGCTTTGAATCTTGGACAATTGGGAGAGCCCAAAGCAAGTTTAACTTTCAACAGCCATATCTGAGAATCAGTGAGAGATCTTCAATCAAGAGGAAGACGAAGCTGCAGTCACGTCTGAGCAGTGGACGGAGACAGCAACGACGGTGGTTGCCTACTTGCCGTCGATTTGATGTACAGCTTACTAATCAAATTATTTGCTATTAACCTTACCAATATATAGTTTTGGAACTTTTTGAAAAGAAACTACTTTTGAGGTGCGCTCTAAGATCTATATATATATAACCATTCTTGTAGACAAAGTTTCACCTGGGCTATTTTGCAGACAGAGTAATGACCATCGACTCCCCAACCAAGAGCTCCATGGACGAGATGTGTAAGGAGGATTATACTTGCGACCCACGTTCTCAATGATAAACCCATCTTGACAAAAAGAAAACAAAGAATCCATTTTTATAATCAAAACTAGAAAGAGAAAATAAGAAGAGGTAAAAGAACAAGGAGTTTCTTACCTTTCCAAAAAGCCTTTTGATTGGTTTTCTTTACTCTATACTTCTCATTGATCGTATATATATGCAGAGTTTGCAAATATTTAATTGTTCGGTTATTCAAATAAGGATTTTCAAATGACACTCGCACGCTAATAACGTTCCACTTTATTATTCATATCAAATAATTTTTTTCAGTACGTCCAACTGTCCATTAAACAGAAACAATTTCGAATATGAAAAATTATGATTGTTGCTGATAAAGAAGTGTCACAGATAGGACTAAATATCATCATTGTAGGCAATAAATAACGGGTTAGTAGCCAAAACGAGGGAGTACGCTTCACATGGCTTGCTCTCTCGTTGACTTCTCTTACATGTATATTTCATTAATCCAACCTATAGTCTTTTAACATTAGAAGTTTCATATCTTAGACCTAAAATCTCCTTACATTTAAAATCAGCATTTAAAAATTCTTTATATATTAAAGGAGAACCATTCTAAAAAATACATTCACATTATAATAGACCAATAGCGGTTATGGGTACAAGCAAAGGAAGGTTGTGCTTTCGGCCTTGCAAAAGTTATATAAAATATCGGCCTTTTTCCATAAGAATCTTTGGTAGTATAGTTGGTTTATCGGTTAAGGCCCTATGTTACAGGTGCTAGGTTTGGAAAATATCAGCCGTGTTTTGTTTCTATTTATTTTTTTCTCTTTAAAAGTTATTCAGTGACAAGCCCAAAATTTTTTTAGCGCTTCTGACCTAAGACTATATATTTTTTTTCAATTTAAAATTCACGTGCATGGCCCATTAAAATTCTGGATTTTTAATTTCGGTTCGAATCAAAACAGATTGCAAATCATTACGAATCGAAAACTAAATTATTTATATATATATATATATATATATATATATATATTATTTTTATTTTATATGGATAAAGCTTGGAAAATATTCATAAATTTATATTCAATTCGTTATCCATTTCGATTTGAACCAAAAATATCTGGATATCCGTAACTCTACGAAGCTAATCAAATACTAAAATACAATATCCGAAAAGGAAACAAATCATAAATACCAATATATTATGGACGTATATCCAATTTGTCCCGTTATATGCATATATACACATATATGTAAAGAACTATATATATATATATGTTATATATTACAGTTTATATAAGTGTTACAATATTTTTATGTATTAAAATTATTATATTAGGTATTAAAATTGTTAAAAATTAAATAATGTTTATTTTTGTAATAGATATTATTATTATATTTTTATTTATTTCTAAAATTTTATTTTATCTACGAATCAACTCGGATATCCAGGTTGTTAAAGATCGAATTGACATTGAATGCCTCCAAATACTCGGATATATGATCCCTGCCCACTCCTATTTACGGATACAATTTTATTTTCTGTAAATGAAAAAATCACTAATTTCTAGGTCTATTTTATTTTTAATCATTTATTTTTTTAAAAATTAATCTTTCATGTATTATTTTGAAAAAAATGTTATTTAATATTAATTAACAGTATCTTTATATATTTATCAACCATTTTATATAGTTTTACATACATATACATGTGCACCTTGATGTGGACACCTTATAACTGAGTATTCAGCACAACTGAAGTATCTAATTTTTAAGCTGAAATATTATTTTTCTTAATGCTTCTTTTACCATCGACCAAATTGTAGTGAAATGATTTGTCTTAGTAATTTTTTCTTTAACATCCGTTTAAGAAATATAATATGAAACCACTAGTTCGACATCATGACTATCTAAAACTCATAACATGAAAACCAAAAGAACCAAAAACACTAAAAAAAACTAGTGGAATAAACCAAAATAAATATTGATTTAAAATTATAATTATATTTTAGGAGATTAAAAAAAAGACAACCTAAAACCGAACATATATTCAGATTAAATAGATGTAATATCTCTTTACTAAAATTAATCAACTTAATAATCATATTCCACGCAAAACGCGGATTATTACCTAAATTGCATTTAAAGAATAACCCTCCATAATAAAAGTAAGTTGAAAGCCAATGTACAAAGGATAATCCAACTATAATTTAACCAAGAATCTGAAATCTTGACGAGCAGAATTTTTTTTTTTTTTTTTTTTTTTTTTTGAGAAAGGGCTTTTGACGAGCAGAAAAAGTTACAAACCATTTCTTTACATACAAATATATACAACTTGTTTACCAAAAGAAAAAAAAATCTATACGACTTTTTGCTCATGGAATCACTTCTGCTTCTAGTTCTCACAATCATAAGCAGCCTAAAACCCCCTTCAACGAGAATCATAAGCATGTTCAGAGGATGATGTAATCCACGCAGTATAATCAGAAGATGAGCCAATTACTTGAAGCACAAGTACACTCCAGGGTTTGTGTTGAGGCACATGTAAGAGAGAATGTCTTATTACTTTAGCAGATGTTACTGAGGTGCGTATATACAGAGTTAGGATATACTACGTTAAACGAATAAGGAAAGATATATATTTTCATGCCCTTTTTAAAAAAAAAAAAGAAAAAAATAAAAAAAAAGATATATATTTTCGTAATGAGAGGATCCTATTGTGTCTTTAACACATCCCCTCAAGATGAAGGATTTGTGGACACTCTATTCTTGCCTCTAAGTTCAAGACACCTGATGGATATCTCCCGTATAATGTGATAAGAACATGAAAGCTTCTGGCAAGTTATTTTTTTGAATGAAATTTTCTGGCAAGTTATCCTGCAAAAAAAAAAATGTAGTCACACAATGCTCCATGTAACTTATGTGTACAACTGAAGCATAATACTAAAAATATTTACTCACAGTGGACACTACGTAGTGAATTTTCAGAAGCTAACATTAATTGGTTTATGTATTGAAGATTGCTCCAGTCACACACCAGTATTTAGGGCAGCCTCCTTCACATAAAAGACAAGCAGAATATTAATTACATTTTACTGCAAATGTTAAACAGAAACATGAAGGAATATTTGCAAGAAAAGAAGCACACGAGAATAGTCATAGTCGCATTTGTAATCAGGTGTATCAGCAAAATGCAAAGCGGCAGTCTATTGCCACTGAGGAAGGTGTTTAATTTCGTCAGGCCATGAGAAAACAGCTGTTAGTTCCCCATATGGCCATATGCATTAATTTTGTGATTTAAAATTTAATTATTATCTAATTTACATAAAAGTTATTAATATCAAATTTGTTAGAAACCCTTGACAATGCAAGTTCTGTTTTTTTTCCTTGTAGTCTGTTCTTTTTTTAATTTGTTCATGGCTTTTGAGTTGCGTTTTGCTACGGGTTTTCTATTAAATAATAGATGGTAAGATCACAATTTAGATTATGATTACGTAATAACCATAAGTAAGTAACATCATGTTATTATTATATTATTATTTTTCTTTTTCTTTTTGAAACAACATCATCATGTTATTATGAATGTTAGTTTATCCGTAACTTGTTTTAAACTTAAAACATGTCATGAAAAATCCACCATATCATTTATTTGTTTATCCCTACTTTTATCAACCGGACAAGCATGTGAACTAATCTTGTAAATTAGGATGCATATGTAATAATATACTAGAACTTGACCCGCAGCCCCGTACATGTGTTTGACTTAACTTATGTTCAACATAAACTCATAAACGTTTATAAAAAATTATATATATTTTATGTTGTATAATATACATATAGAGTAGGATATATTATCTTATAATATAAATGTTTAATAATAAATTTTATTTGATAATATTATATTCTAAATTATATAACTTGATGTAATTGTACTATACATATATTAACATGTTTTTTGTTAATTTATTTTAAAATGATTTTTTGCATTAGTTTTCTATGAATTATTATTGATCTTATGATATTTTTGTTTTCTTTAAAATTAAACTCTCGAAATTTTATATTTGACTAAATTAAATAAGATCATATTATATTTAAAAATTATTTTATATAATATATACTATATATTTCAGTTTGTGTTTCTATTTTCACCAAAAAAATCATTGTAATTAATTAATCAAAATTGATTTTAAATGTAATGGCAGAATCTATAAATAAGAATAAATACAATAAGAAATAAGAAAGTATTTAAGTTATTGTAAATATAATGGCTAAATGTGTAAATAAAAAAAGTATTTAATTTGCTATTTATGTTTTTAAACAATTCTCATTTATTCTACTATCCTTATTTCCAAACAGTATCAAAAGATAATTCAGTTTTAATAATATAGATATAACGTACTCTCCACATTATTATGAACATGGAAACTATATGTAATAACGCTGAATACCATAAGAAGTTAAAATATGAGGGCCATCCTAAAATGTAAAAAATGTTAAATTACAATGGTTCATCATGCGAGCTAGGAAGAAAGAGGAAGTTAGTTTGATAAAGCAGTAAACAAACTTTCAAAATAACAACCTACGGATTTGGTAGGTCTCAAGAGTAACTCGTAAGATTTGGCATAGATATCATATATCATCATTGGTTGCTTGAATTCATGACTACCAAGTAATAAATTAGTCTTGTACTTGTCCACTATTTGTATTCGTAAGTATGCGACATCTAACCAATCCAAATTTTTGGTAAGATCTATTGAATGCACTTTCCTCCATGCCTTGATGTTGCCATCTGGAAGCGTAAAATACAAGGGGAATTGGAGCGTTGCAGATTACTTGGAATGTTTCAGTGTGAAGTTCGAAAGATAATACCTTGCATATTCCTTCTTGATCATACTCCGTCAACCAATCAAGTGACCCATCTAAGTACACAGGATTATGGTCGGTATTAATCCGACAAGGAGAAGCAGGGTGAACGTACCTCCAAGTATCAGTGCTAACATTAAGAACTTCACAAGGCCAAATTCAAACGAATTATATAAGAAAACTGGCTTGTACGTACCAATGTGTTTGTCTTTACCGAATCCAAGCTTAGGTATTGAGGAGATATATAGCAAATCCCCGTCTAGACCAGTGGATGAGGAGCTGATGAATTTTAGCAAGAGGAAAACTTTGATGCCATCTAGAGGCGGGATTTGCTACCACGACACCGAAACTCCTGTCGTAGAGGCATACTAGACCATCACAACTACCGTAGCAGACCGACCTGCACAGAGTAGGGAACCAGTCCGTATAAGCTACTGTTGATGACCCATACACAAATCTTGTAGGACGTGTGTTCAGACCCTGATCACCAAGGGATATGAAAAGAAAATCTGGACCTCATGACGGATCAACTGCTTTTTCTGGAAAGTTTGGGTCTCGACTGTGTTTCCACCTCTTGGATACAGACCTAAATCTCAGTAGAGACTTCACGGGAAGTCTCTCTAGTATAAGTGTAAGGAATATGGTTTTGATATCTTATTTACACTACAGGAGGATACAATATATACTAGAGAGCACAAGAGCTTCTAGGTTAAGCTATTAACAAGATTTTCCTATATTGCAGGGATTGAGATCGGAGACTTAAATGGAGAAGATATCATATCCTTAACACGCCCCTTCAATACGGAGGGGCTGAAGCGACTTCAATCTTGTCTCTGAGTTCTAGGAAACGAGCGCGAGGTAGGGGCTTTGTCAACGTGTCGGCCAGTTGATCTCTTGTGTTGACGTGTGAAACCCGCAAAGCTCCGCGCTGTAATTGTCCTCGGACGAAGTGGTAGTCGAGGGCAATGTGTATCATCCGTGAGTGAAATACCGGGTTCGCACATAAGAACGTTGCTCCAATGTTTTCGCAGTACAAAAATGGAGCTGTGGGGACTTTGACACTAAGATCAGTTAGCACATAACATATCCATGCAAGCTCCGAGGCTGTGTTTGCAACGGCCCTATACTCCGCTTCCGTAGACGAGCGCGCAACCCCATTTTGTTTCTTGGAGCTCCAAGATATCGGATGTTTCCCAAGGTAAACTATATACGAGTTAGTGGAGACAAAGTCATCAACATCGCCAGCCCAATCAGCGTCTGAATAAGCTTGTAGGAGAGCTTTTTTGCCAGCGCTATAGTAGATGCCATGAGTGGGAGTGCCTGCAAGGTATTGTAGAACTCTATTGGCTGCATGTCAGTGTTCCTCCGTCGGACGATGCATGAACTGAGAGAGCCGATTTACTGCGAAGGCAATATCCAACCTCGTGAATTGAAGATATTACAGGCTTCCGATGAGTTGACGATACGTGGTGGGGTTTGATAGAAAAACCCCTGAATTTAGGGAGAGCTTTGTCGATGACGCCATAGGTGTGCTGACTGGTTTCGCATTAGACATGTCGTACTTGTGAAGGAGATCAAGGATGTATTTTCGCTGAGACAGGTGTAGACCACGGACTGTTCGGTGTGCTTCAATGCCTAAGAAGTAGTTCAGGTCTTCAGCATCTTTTACCGAGAATCTGTTAGCCAGCAATGTGATAATGGTACGGATGTCCTCTTTGGAGTTACATGTCACTACGATGTCAGCAACATAGATCAGTAGGTAAAGATAACCCTGTGTCGTCTTTAGTACGAACAAGGAGGTGTCAGAAAGAGAGTTGGCGAAGCCTAGGCTGAGAAGAAAATCCTTGAGCTCGTTGTACCAAGCTCGTGGAGCTTGTTTGAGGCCATAAACAGCCTTTTTAAGACGACAAACGTGGGATGGTTTGTCTTGATCTTTGAACCTCGGTGGTTGCTCCATATAAACTTCTTCATTGAGGGTACCTTGGAGAAAAGCATTGTTGACATCGAGCTGTTGGATAGGCCAGGAGTTACTTACAGAAATGTTAAGGACAAGTCGTAGCGTTGTCGATTTGATCACCGGACTGAACGTCTCTGTGTAATCTTGACCATATTGTTGCTTGTAGCCTTTGGCGACCAGTCTAGACTTGCAGCAGCGGTGAGTTCCATCGGAGTGAAATTTATTTTTGTGAAGCCACTTACATCCTACAAAATTGTATTGGGGTTGCCGAGGAACCAGATCGTATGTTCCATTTCGCACAAAGGCATCGATTTCTGCAGACATAGAGCCACACCATCTCTTGTCGCGAAGTGCTTGAGCAAGGGTATGCGGCTCCTCCGAAGATGATATCGACAATGCAGCAGAGTAATTATACTTCGGACTGGGTTTGACAATTTGATTCTTACGCCTTGTCTGCATCGGATGATCATTTGTGGGTGGTGGAGGTTGTGAAGCCGACGATGAAGAGGAGGATGTTTGTTGTTGTTGTGACTGTTGCGCTGTAGCGCCTGGGGCAGAGTTTGTTGCAGCAACTGATGACCCCGTGGAGGAAGGCGTATTGATCGCAGAATCTGTTAAACTATCATGTACCTGCAAGTTAGAATCTGAGCTAGAGGATCCCGTTTGAGGCAGTACGAGTGGCGGTTCAGGGAGGTTAGGTTGGGGTGGGTTTGGTTGTGGTGTGTGAACTGGTATTGTAGTAACTGGTGGTGAAGTAGGATTGGTATCGGTTTCTTGGTTTGGGGTTTAAGGTAGCGTTGAGAGTTTGTGGAACGGAAACTGTGTCTCATCGAAGCAGACATGTCGAGAGACATAGATCCTTCTGGTTGCTGGTTGGAGGCAAAGATAGGCGCTCTTGGTTAGTGAGTAGCCAAGGAACATACACGGTGTTGATCAATCTTCGAGTTTGACTGTTGCGCTGTAGCGCCTGGGGCAGAGTTTGTTGCAGCAACTGATGACCCCGTGGAGGAAGGCGTATTGATCGCAGAATCTGTTAAACTATCATGTACCTGCAAGTTAGAATCTGAGCTAGAGGATCCCGTTTGAGGCAGTACGAGTGGCGGTTCAGGGAGGTTAGGTTGGGGTGGATTTGGTTGTGGTGTGTGAATTGGTATTGTAGTAACTGGTGGTGAAGTAGGATTGGTATCGGTTTCTTGGTTTGGGGTTTAAGGTAGCGTTGAGAGTTTGTGGAACGAAAACTGTGTCTCATCGAAGCGGACATGTCGAGAGACATAGATCCTTCTGGTTGCTGGTTGGAGGCAAAGATAGGTGCTCTTGGTTAGTGAGTAGCCAAGGAACACACACGGTGTTGATCAATCTTCGAGTTTGTGTTTTGTGTAGGGTCGTAGCCAAGGAAAGCAAAGACAGCCAAAAGTGAGAAGCTTTGTGTAGTTCGGATGGGTTCCAAAGAGTTTATGGAATGGAGTTTCCATGTCAATAACCGGTGTTGGCATTCGATTTATCAGATATGTGGCTGTCACGAACGCATGTCCAGTAGGATTTGGGCATTGCAGAATGGGTGAGCATCTTCATACCAGTTTCAACAACATGTATGTGCTTTCTTTCGGAGAGGCCATTGTGTTCGGGTGTATGGGGTGGTGTGGTGAGATGAGAGATTCCAGCCTCAGCGAGGAGAGTGTGCAAGCCAATGAATTCGCCGCCGTTATCAGAATACAAAGTGCCAATTTTTGTGGAAAAATGATTCTCCACTAGCGCCTTGAATTTTTTGAATGTGTCAAGGACATGCGACTTGAGTTTGAGGGGAAAGAGCCAGGTATAACGGCTGTAGTGATCAACGAGAACTAGTTAATACTTGTATCCGTCAATTGAGGTTATAGGGGAGCTCCAGAGGTCTGTGTATATATATTGCAAGGGTTTGTAAGAGGTGATAGTGTTTGTGGAGAAAGGTAATTTGTGAGTTTTATTGATAGCACAATCTGAGCAAATAGATGATTCTGTTACAGATTTTTCAAAAGGCAAAGAAAACTTTGAAATAATAGACTGAAGAATAGAAAAAGATGGATGCCCTAGGCGTAAATTCCATTGGGACAAGGTTGTTTTTGGGGTGGAGGTTGCAAAGAAAGACTGAAGGGTAGAGGTTAGGGCTGGCCATTCATACAACTCATCCTTGGTCTTGCCTTGGAGTAACGGGATTCCCGAGCTCAGATCCTTCACCTGAAAGTGAGCAGGGAAAAATTCAACAGAGACTTTGTTAGTGTTGCAAAGTCGATAAACTGATATTAGGTTCTTTCTAATATCTGGAACACACAGCACATTATTTAATTTAAGAGGTCGAGTATGAGAGGGAAGCGAGAGGGAACCAGTGTGTGTGATCTGTAATCTCGAACCATCACCAATCAAAACGGCATCATCACCTTGATACGGAGCTTGCATTGTCATGTTGTGGAGGTCACTTGTGATGTGGTGCGTAGCTCCGGAGTCCATAAGCCAGGCGTTTGTCGGATTGGGTGATGTGAGAGCCATGTTTGCTCGAGGTTGCCACGCCATGGTTGGAGAGTTGTATGCCTTGGATTTTTGTGGCATCAGTTGGGGGAACCTTCTCGCACTATGTCTGAAGACACTGCAGATCTGACACTTTCCTTGGTACCCCTTAGATGGACCTTGTTTGTACGCCTGAGAAACGCTTTGTTGGGGTCTGGAGTTGTTCCAGTGCTGTTAACTTACTCTCGCCTGAGTGTATTGTTGATTCTTCGGACGAGAATTAGCCATGTGAGCGCTCACTGGAGCAGCAGAGGGTGTTGTAGCAGAGAGAGCTAGGAGCTTAGCCTCTTTGTTGATGAGCTTCTCGTGAATCTCAATGATTGATGGTGAGACGTCGCGACCTTCGACTTGATCTGTGACAGTCTTGTATTCTTCGGGGAGGCCATCAACGATGTACTCTATTTTATCTTCATGATCTAGTGAATTTCCGAGGAGAGCTAGTTGGTCGAACCTAGTTGTGAGGCCTCGCATGTAGTCATCAATTGTTTTGTCTCATTTGGTGAACTCCTTCAGTTGGAGACGAAGCTGTTGAATGTGACCCGGCTTGGTGTGGCGTAGGTTGTACTGAGAGACTTCCACACGTCTTGGGATGTTTTGGTGTTTGTCATCATCGCTTGGATTGATGGAGACAGAGTACCGGTCAAGGCACTGTATATGAGACGATCTTGACGGCGCCATTTGGTGAAGGCTGGGTTGACGGAGGTTGTGTCGTCGATGGTGACTTTGTCTTCTGGAGCCGGTGTGGAGCCATCAAGATATCCGGCGAGATCGTAGCCATCGAGAAGAGCATGGACTTGGAGATTCCAAGTCATGTAGTTTGTCGGCGTGAGTTTG